GGTACTTCCTCATCTTCTCGAAATCCATCACTAGCTTGATGTACTTGTGTGGTATCCCCACCTTCTCATCCTTCGCCATAACCATACCAGCAATAACACACAAATACACCAATCTCAGTCTATCAACATGAGACCACGTATTACACTTCTTTAGATGGACCTTCCTGATCTGTTGTAGAGTTATCTTTTTTTTCCTCTTCAGCAACAGACTCCAAAACCCTTTATCAGATTTCCAATCATCGATATCCAAGTCAGGTTCGTCTTCATACTTCAGACCAGTGATCGCATAGAACTCTTGCATTGAAAATCTCAGAGGCCTCCTAGCAAAATGGAACCACAACTCATGAAGCTTTGCGTTCAGAAGCTTCTTACAAACGAAGGTGTGGATCACTGTCCCAGAATAGCCAAGCTTGTGATCATGAACGGCCATGACTTGAGCAAAGAGCGGATCCTCCAAGACTTCCGAGTACTCGGCTGGAACGGACGCTTGCACCAACTCAAGGATCGTAGCTCGGCAAGTGTTGTTGACCTTAATTTTAGTTTCGGTTCCTTCTTGGAATAGGCACTTAGGAAATTGATCCATAATGGTACATGTGAACAATGAAACAAATACAATTAGTACTCATGAGTAATGTATAAATCAGACACCCTAGTCAAAGCAAAACGAAGACAATAATGCAAAAGCGAGACCACATACCATTCCAATTACATCAATTAAACTGTATAAAATTGAATTAACAATTTGGTAAACCACAAAAACACCAAAAATTAAGAAACTTTGCTATCATATAAGCCTAAATTATTCACACAATCAATAATATAAACATGTTATACTCATATTAGGATTAAAGACACTCAAATCAAAGAGAGAAGACATGCAAATTTATGTTCACAAGTCCAAGAAAAAAACTGAAACCGAAACCGAAACCACATAGCTTACAAGATATTTAGATGTAAAACCCAAGCTAATTGTATATATATGAGACACCAACTCGAGCTATGTCAACACAAGCCTGAAACTTTAATAGCAAAATTGGTGGTCACAAAAAAAAATTAAACGGTAACATATGACAAACATGAACAAGTATGAAACTTTAATACCAAATCCGATGAAAAAAATCAAGTGTAAAACTTTAAGAGCAAAACCAATGACAAAAATCTAAGAATGAAACTTTGATAACAAACACTCAAATCATTAATAGAAACTACATTTCAAACCTATCACAATCAAATATATGAGTAAAAAACGAATAAAATTAAAGATACAAAGACATGCAAAAACAAAAAAAAAATAACAACTACTTGAACAAACCTGAAAATCTCTATCGTTTTGCTTGAACTACACTTGAGAGTGTATATTGCAGAGCGGAAAGGCCCGAGCTTCACTTTCCGACGAGGCATGAGATTCACTGTTTGGGATTTACTTCAGAACGAGATGCAGAGTGAGCAAGAGTTTCTTAGACTTCGATTAAGAAGAAGAATACCACCGAAGTCTTATCGGGAAGAAGGAACACCGGCGACGGCAAGCTATGACAAGCCGATGACTTGAAGTCGGCTCTTCTCTCTATCGCCAACAGAGGGGTGAAAATTAGGGTTCGTACAAACCGCAATTGAGAATAAAACGATTTTCCCCCTTTTGTTTATTAATATTCTTTTTTACTTTTAATTTTTTTTAATAATTGAAATAATAAAAATCATTAAGGTTTAGATTAGGGACTTAATTGGGTTTTTCGAAAATATTATACTAATTGGACAACTTATACTTCCTGTTATGGCATAGGGACAATCTATTAGTTTTTTTGTTCTATATTTACAATTTTCCCATGTAATTATGTGTTTTTTAATTCAATTGATAATTCACGTTGAACATGACAAACGAATTATTTTTTAGTGCTTTAGGCTATGTAACAGCCACCAAATTCTTCCAATCAAACTTTGCTTACGATACTCTATAACTTTTTTTTTTTGTAATTGGATACTCAATAAATTTTTAACAGATTTATGAGTCTTATAACATATAATTAATGTTTACTGATCAAATTTTGATTTAGTAAATTTAAAGTAAAAACTTTAAAGCTACATTGAAAAAGGTATACAACTTAAATTTTACAACAAAATATTTAAAGGTACAGCCTCAACCAGTGAAACCCGATATATACGCTTGTCTTTTATGTTTTCTTTATTTTTAGATCATCACCAAAAAAAAATTTTATAACTTTAAATATGAAGTTTTTGACTTTCCAAAAAAAAAATCTAAAACTTCAAATTTGAAATTTTGAATAATGAAATTTCAAACATAGATTATCACTACTCAAAACTTCAAATTTGAATTTTCCTATTTTTATTTGCGTTTTGGTCCTTACAATTAAACGTCACATTTATAAATTTTAATTATTTTTTATCTTTTTAATCCTTACAAATTCGTATCTTATAAATATTTCAATTTTTTATAAATTTAAATTTTATGTATAACTTTTTCTTAAAAACATCAAGATAAGATTTTAAAATATTTAAAACTAAAACTAGACAACAATAATATTAAAAAACTTAATGTAGTATTTTGTTTATAGTTTAATATTTAATTATATATTTTATTTATATTTTTATATTTTAGTGTAATATTTCATCAATTAGTATTGCTGTAATATTTTTAAATATGTGATAGTTATTTATAAAATTCCTATAAATTTGAATTAGTTCTGACAAATATAAAGACCGTTGTAAAAAGTACAAATAGTTTTGAAGTTAAATTTAAAATTTGGTTTTGGAATATAACACATTCAAACTTCAAATATAGTTGTGTAAATTCTAAAACAGAAATTTTTTTGTAGATGCTCCGTACAAAGATTATCTTAATTTTTGTCAATTATAATGTTTACTTTGTATATAACAAATAAAATATAACAAATCTATTATAACCTAGTCTTTCTTTATCATCTCTTAACTATTTTAATTTTATCAATTTAAAACGATTAATATAATTGTTAGATGTATAGTCTACTATATAACCTAGTCATTATATATCCTTCTCTTAAACGTAGACTATTTTAACTTTATCAATTGAGAGTAGAGAATATTAGTTTGGAGCTATCATAAAATATTTGGTTGACAAGAAAACTGTTAATTAATTAAAACTACTGAGAAATTATCGACCACTTTAAGGTAAATTTGGATTTTTATACTTGAAGAACCATTAATATTTTTCTTGCATCATTTAAAGTTCTTCAATTTGAGAGTACTGAAAAATTTGAGAATACAAATCCTTTTACAAACAAAATCGCGAACACTAACAAATNAATATTTGGTTGACAAGAAAACTGTTAATTAATTAAAACTACTGAGAAATTATCGACCACTTTAAGGTAAATTTGGATTTTTATACTTGAAGAACCATTAATATTTTTCTTGCATCATTTAAAGTTCTTCAATTTGAGAGTACTGAAAAATTTGAGAATACAAATCCTTTTACAAACAAAATCGCGAACACTAACAAATCCGTTGGTATGGTTGTCGTTTTCAAAAATTTCAAGCAATCTACCAAAAACACCATCGTGGTTAGGCCTAATCATTGTCTTTTATTGCAAGTTATGCCAAATTAGTATAATAGGGAAAAGCTTTTGGGTAAATTCCTTCCATAAAAGTTTTCTATATTTACTTATAAAGCATATAATAAATTTATGTTTTCTTTCAAAATCAATCAGCATTATATCAATATGCTGTAATCACTGTTTATACTATGATGCTCGTTTGCAGCCCCTTCCAGTATTTTTTTTTCAAATGTAACAGTATAAATCCAAAATAAATAATATATCTATTTGTGTATGGATGAATAAAATATTTTTCATACAACACTCCATATTTGCTTCTGGAATTTTAAATCTAAGAAGATAATTTTTGTATTAATCCAAATACACCACTCTGCAGAAAGACCGGAGACAGCATATTTGAGAAACCGCAAACCCAACCTGGACTGGGAGCCTTATCTCTACCTCCATGCGCTGCTTTCTCGTCAAGCGGGACGAAAAGGAAAAACGTTCACTTCTAAATCCTAAAGCGCCGATTCCACCGGTAACAACTCTTCCACCTCCGCACCAAACCACTAAAGCTAGAA